TCTGGTTCAACACATCCTTGAGCCGGAGTTGATGGGCGAACCGGCCCCTTCTCTTGGCGTTGTTTCATCTCCCGAGGTCAGTGCCACATGGAGCCCATCGGTTAGTCTCTGCGACAAGGTGGAGGTGCTGATCTAGTAGCTTTGACAAGCGCAAGAGGAGATCGAGCGCCTAAAGCAGTAGTCGACAGAGGCTGAGGGGTGGGCTCGTGATGAGCACGAATGTTGCAAGAAGGTCGAGACCGAAATGATCGCCAAGAGGGAGCTCATGGAGCTGAAGTCTTCCTTGGCATCAGTGGAGCAGTAGTTGGAGGAAGTTGTCGTGAAGGTAGTCGAAAAGTATAAAGCCTCAGAGGACCACAAGATGGGCCTGACCTCCTTTGCCTCCTAGTCTTACCTAGAGGGCTTCGATGATTGCAAGGCTCAAGTGTCGAAGATTCTTTCAAGCTTCGATGCTAGCTAATTGTACCCGTTCGCTTTCGAAGCTCAACAATTAGTGGATATACTAGGGATGGATTTGAACCCTACCACCAACGCCACTACCCAAGCCACCGCTTAGGCCAGAGGGGCCCAATAGATTGTTTTCTTTTGTTTGGGCCTGCATGCCCCTAAAACTTATATTCTTTTTCTTCATTCCTTCCTTCCTTCTTCTTCTTCTTCTTCTTCTTCTTCTTTTTACAAGGGGCTTACGCCTCCCCCATAAGAGGTCTTTGTAAAGACACTTGAGTTATTGGGACTTGAGTTTCTTGTCAAAGTATGCTCTTCTTATCTTCTTCTCTTTCTTCTTTTGTGCAAGGGGCCGATGTCTCCCCTCGAAGAGGCATTTTTGTAAAGAAACTTGCAATTCTTTAATAATGTATCTTTTTTTTTGAAAGTGTTCTTTACTTAGTCTTTCGTGAAGACATTCCGTATTAGAGTCTTTTAGGCTGAGGTCGATGTCACAAGTCGCTCGATAATAGTTGCCAAGAGACGAGGCTGGTTTGCTTGTCGACCCTAGCTCAGGGATGCACCGGACCGAACCTCCTCATGTCATCTCATGCACAGCTTTAATCAGTCAACCTCGGCACCCATCTTGTGTATGGACCTACAATAGATGACATCAGTGCCCGTATGGGGCATGAGCAATGTACGCAAGTAGCCTACACCCGTACGGGCCACGGCCACACACCCTCGGCCTGGATTGATCCTTTACTGACACGAAGGGTGGATGGAGGAGTTGTCGTCACACAGCCACTGAAAAGAGCTCCGCAGCCGAAGCCGACGCCTCTACGTGAATCTACCACTCTCTTCGATCGAAGCCAAGGCCTCAAGGAAACCTACCAACCGACCTCGGCCGCTACAGCCTTGAGAGTGGGGGGCAAGTGATGTAGGGATATCTGGCCAACTTGCAGATTTTGACATGTGGTATCATCCGGATGCATCTTGGCCATCCATCATCAACCACTGCCAACGCCGCCACCTGCTCGCAATTGCCCCTCTTCTAAGGCAACTCTGGCTATTAAAGGGACTCCCACATTGAGGTAAACACACATAGACTTAAGCTCTAAATTTCCTCTCTTACTTGGTCCGGCCCCTTACAACTCTCGACTAATTTGACCATTGAAGTCTTCACCCCTGGGATAACACTCTAGGCCTCTGACGTCTTCTTTCTCTCAACAAATTGGACTCATTGGCCTCGAACACCAAAAATTACATTATTACCCTCAGCTCAATATTTCACAACAACAATTTGAAACACCAAATGAAATATTATTTGAGATTTTATATCAACACGTTTCATTATTTATTCATGTAAACACCACCAATTTGAATGCGAGTGATAATGAATACCATGAAAGTCAACTTTTTAAGTTCATATCTTGGGAAAAATTCATGGTGTATGGTGTATGAAGTAACAAAATACATGAATCAATAGTGTTTCAAAATGAAAATATTATTTGAGATTTTATATCAACACGTTTCATTCTTTATTCATGTAAACATCACCGGTTTCAATGCCACATGATAGTGAATACCATAAAAGTCAACTTTTTAAGTTCATATTTGGGGAAAAATTCATGGTGTATGGTGTATGAAGTAACAAAATACATGAATCAATAGTAAAGTAAAATGGCATTTCATATTTAACGTTGTTAGGCAAAGTTTGGAAAAGTATAAATACAAATATGTAAAGTGAAAAATCTTTTTATTTTGTATTTCTAAACCTTTATTTGAAGTGTACTTATAATCTTTCTAAACTAAACCTAAAAACTTAATGGTAGATACACATTGCAAAATTAACATGAATAAAAGAAAAGTAAGTATGTTATTTTATGTCTTTAACATGATTGATTAAAATTTTAATTTAATGGTGTAACAAATATTTGTAAATGCATGATACTTTATTCTATATTTAATTAAAACTCTGATCGATAAAAATATAAAATCACTATATGAAAAATGAGTTAGTTCCAAGAATTTTTATACATCCAAGTTTAAAAGTAATTTTATTTGTTTAAGTTATAAAATTCATCAAATTAATTCTCTAAAAGCATACCAAACGCAACCTACCAAACTTTTGACTAGGGATGCAAACGGATTGGATTGGATTCGAATTAGGGTATATTCCAATATGATTCGATACTATTCACTTTGGATTTGATCCAATCCGAAGATCTGATAGGATTCAATTTGAATTCAAATCCTATCGGTAAGTTGAATCTTCGGATCTAATCAAATCTGACTTGTTTTCTTTAAAAAAATAACAAATATTAAAAGAAAAATAAAATATACTAATTTAAATAAAATAAAAACAAAAAATACAAGTATTTTTTAATTATTTTCATCATATATATACATATTTTTATAAAAAAAACAAATAATATAACAAATTTATAAAAATATATTTATAAATAAATAAATATATTATATATTTATATTTATAAATATATAATATATATTGGACCACAAGGAACAATAAATCCTTGTCTGAACCACTCGGATTTTTAGTACTATTAGGCTTCGTTCGTTTGTAACAGTGCAACTTAACCGGATAAGTGCACTTATCCATGTTCTTTTGATTTTTAAGTAAATAATAAAAGAGCATTTCTACTCATCAAAAGTAACTCTTAAAATAGGTAAAATGGTCTCATCAGGTTTTATAAAAATTTCTCTCAAGTAAGAAAATTATTTACCGACCTCGAAGATGGATAAATTTTACCCAAAAAAATAAGGATAACTTTAATGTGAGGTCCATTGCTTAATGCAAAAAGAATATAGGAAAATTAGTTAATATAAAAAAGTTACTGATCAATTTTGCCATGCATATTTACTCAATAAGTAATTCTTTGTAAAAAATCAAAATTGTCCATGTGCATCAAGCATTTATCATTATACAATGATATAAAACAAATATGAATTGGGGGCGCCTTATGTCTATTCACCTTTCTATATATCAAAGAGGAATCTGCTCCCATCACAAGATCTCTCTGATCTCTCCACAACATTTTGACTTTTGGATAAGAGAAATGCTACCAAGCAACGCCCATATGCAACTCTTGATTTTTCCCAGATGTGATGATGGAGCCACAAAGACACACAAAGGGGTGATTAATGATATTGCTTTTTGTGGGTCCCACCATGGTAGTGCGCTGTACTCTGTCTGCTAACATTCTTCCCACTACTACATTCCTGTTCTGTATATCCAACAGCTTACGCATGCATCATCAGACCAATCAAATCCAACGGTGGAGGATTCGAGTTGAGGGTGGTTGTTGGTTGTGTACATGCGTCTCTCTCAGGCCAATCCTAAATTAAATTAATTAAAATAAAACTGTGTTTTTTTTTTTTGGATGGAGAAATAAAACTGTATCTGTTCATCGTTGAGAGATGCTGTTATTTTGTTTTTTTATTGGAGTTTTAGGAAGGGAAGTAACAAACCAACCACCGCTTGACTGAGTTTCCAATCACGGAGACACGCTTTTCTTGCAGGCTTGTTGGTTGGAGACTGCAGTAAAAGTAGTTGTCTCCCTAATCCTTAAAAATTCTCTTAATTTCCTTCTTTTTTTATTTGAATTTCCATTTCTCTGTTTTTTTTTTCACAATTACATCGCATTCTTCGTTTTGCTCCTTTTGCTTCCCATAAGAAATAGACAGCTTGTGGGAATTGTATACAATCTGGGTATTGATCGAAACAGATAAAGAAGGAGAAATTCGATGTGGGTATCGGGTATCTTGGCTCTCAATGGAAAAATTTGATGTGGGTTGTGGTTATTCTTATTGAAAAAATAACGGAATTTGAGGTTAAAAAAGTTGAAGTTCTTGTTGCCTTGTTTTGTCGAAGGTCCAGAATTCTTTTACAAGGAATCTTTGAGCGGTCACATTCGGATTGATTTTTTAATGAGTGATTCTGATGTGGGTAGCTTTTCTTTTGGTGAGAATTTAGGATCTATGTACAGGGAGAGAGCAGGGTTCTTCCCATTTTTCTATTAATCTTGTTGGGTTTTGCTTGAGGTTAGTGAGATATCCAAGCATCTATTCAATTCTCTTGTATGTATTATTGAAAATACCGGTATAGGTTGTGATTAGTTTGGGTAAAGGTTAAAGAATTTTGTGCAGAGTGAAAGAGAGAGAAAGACAGGCCTGAGTTTTAGTTTTATTCGTTTTTTTCTGTAAAATTCATGGATGAACTGCTTGAGTAGTAAAAAATTAAGGGATTTTTTCGGGAGGGGAAACCAAGTCCTTGTTTTTCTTTCTTGTATAGTTGTATATTGTTTTGGGTTGTAATCGTTGAAGATCATGAGATTTCTGAGCATCATGGGCAATTCCTTTGGATGCTCTGCGTCCGGGGAGAGGCTGGTTTCCGCTGCAAGAGATGGGGATCTTCAGGAAGCTAAGGCTTTATTGGAATATAATCCACGTCTGGCGAGGTATTCCACCTTTGGCGTTCGTAACTCTCCCCTCCATTACTCTGCAGCTCAGGGCCACCATGAGGTAATTTAAGCATATGATTTTCCTCTCTGAAATTTAGAATTAAATATACTGAATTGCAGATATTTCATTTTCTTGGTTTCTGTAATGGCTCTATTGTTCTTTTTTTTTTATTCAGATTGTGTCTCTCTTGCTGGAATCTGGAGTGGATATTAATCTCAGGAATTATAGAGGGCAGGTATGTGATCCAGTGCTCATATTGAAATGCAGTTGCCTTTATTTCCCTTTCATGTTTCTTCTGTGGGTTGAATTCTTTTTCCTAACTTCCCATACTTTTAACTTTTTAGTTCCTAAAAAGCTTCTTGATTTATGATTGAGTTTCAATTGAGAATATGATGTTATTTGTAATGTTGGACAGACTGCTTTGATGCAAGCATGTCAACATGGACACTGGGAAGTTGTTCAGACACTGATGCTTTTCAAAGCAAATGTATGATATCTTACCTTTTTTTGTTATTTTCTACTTCCACTGGAAATAGATTGGCTCAAAATATTAAAATTAACTGGAGGATCTCTCACAAACATACACTGGATTGGATTTTAGATTCACAGACAGGATTATCTTAATGGGGGTACAGCACTCCATTTTGCTGCCCTTAATGGGCACTCTCGATGCATCCGGCTACTTCTTGTGGATTACATTCCTAGCATTCCTGATTTTTGGAATATTCTAAGGAAAAGATCTGCTAAAGGAGAACATAAGATGGAATTTGATGAAGGGTACGCTCATCTTATTGTTTGTATATCTTGATTATCTTCTTCCCCATTGATTGTTTGGTAATATTCGACATCCAATTTTGTTTGTTTCAGTGCTCTCTCAAAGGTAATTAATAATCCTGCTGATGGAGGTATTACAGCCCTTCATATGGCAGCATTGAATGGGCATGTTGAGAGCGTACAGTTACTTTTGGATTTAGGAGCCTCGGTTTCTGAGGTTACTGTGGAAGATGGAACAACAATTGACCTGATTGGTAATTTTTTCTTCCTATGACATTTTATTTTACACTTATCTGTTACATAGTCAGTAAATTATTTCTTAGTTGATTATTGCAATGATTTTTTCATGTCTTGGTGTTCATGATGCACTTTATTCTCTTCTTCATCTTTCTTTTAGTTAAGATTCAAACCTTACCCTTTTCTATGGTTTTTATCTTATCCATTTTTTAGATTTTATTGAACCATATGACATTTCAGCCAGTTAATAGTCTAGACATCAGCATTCATGTAATCTGGTTACATTCTGATATAATAGGTTCTTCATCATATTTCTTTCATGGTGTAAAGGTTGTTTATATTCTACATTATGTATTGAGATGTGGTGTCACATTAAAAAAAGGGGCAGCCCAGTGACAAGGCTCCCACCAATGCGGGGTCTGGGGAGGGACAGATGTATGCAGATTTATCCCTACACGTACAGAGAGGCTGTTTCCAAGATTTGAACCCTGGTCACCCAGGTCACAATGGAGCAACCCAAGTGTTGCACCAAGGCCCACCCTCTGGTGTCACATTTCACTGTGGTTAAAATTCTGTCACATCATATTACTCTGTATTGGCAATGTGTATATTTGATTTTAAACTCGAGATTAAGCTCTCACGTTCCAATGCTTTAATATGTTTTTGAGTGATCAATGCTAGTGGAATGTAACTAGAGGTAGTTGTATCATTTTCACCTTCCCCCAATAAGAAGAAAATAAAAAATATCTCCAATTTCTGTTACTTGATAATTGATATGATAAACCTACATATTCAGATATTATGCTACTGATTTGGAGGCTCCTTTGAACCTTGGAAATAAAATACATTTCCTACTGATGTTGTTATCAGAAAGAGATAAAATACATAAACTAAATTTGTGGTACTTCCTGCTCCATTTTACAAGCAACAGGAAATACAAAAGTTAATTGTTTATTGAATTGAATACAACTAGCATGAAAAGAAATATTTATCTGAACTATAAATATATATCCCAAAATCCCTTTCGGAAAAATAGTCCTTGTTTACTATATTTTGGGAACAAAATCAGCTAATCCAAAGAGTCATTATAGATGTGGTTGAGGTAATAGCTAGAATTTCAATCAGTACAAGTATCTTCATTTGAAGTAAAAAAGTCATATTGACTCATTGCTGTTTCTTTAGATATGTTTATCAGTGCTAGTACACATTTGAGGTTAGAGAAAAAAAAAAGAATCTACCTCATTATTGTTTCTTAAGATATGCTTAGAGGCAATATCTAGATTAGGATCAGTTTGAGTGTATGACTTTCCCCTTTTCTTTGATTGCCAGGTCCAGGAAGCACACCACTTCATTATGCTGCTTGTGGTGGAAGTGCACAATGTTGTCAGGTATGTCAGTATTATGCCTTGAATTGATTTTATAATTTTGAGTGCCGTGCTGTGTGGGCCTTATTTTGTGCACATTTTGGATTTAGGTTTTGATTGCTAGGGGTGCCAGGGTGAATTCTGAAAATGCCAATGGGTATCTCCTTTACTTCCAGTCTGTAGTTTAATTCTTATACATTTAGTACATATATTTCTCCATTTTTGTTCTATAAGTATTCATTTGATTATTCAGCTAATTTGAGTTCTTAAGATATGTCAAGGGGAGTTGGACCCTGGAGAAGTCTAATAAATTATATCTCTTGAGCTTATTAGTCATTTCTAAGCCTTTTTTTTATCAATGATAATCAAGGTGTCTTTCTCTTTTCTTAGCTTTTAGATTGTCATTACCTCTTAACCTGTGATGGGATTCATGTTTCTCAATATCTAAACTAGCTTATTATCCAATTATACTGTCGGAATTTAATTTTGAGTTACCAACTTAGCATATATCATTGCAATCAGGTGGTTGAACTAGATTTTAATGCAGGTGAATTGGGGAAAGAACAACATAGTATCATTAGAAAAGAAAAGTGAAATTCAAATACTAGGATTGAGTATGAAACTAAACTTATTTGTGATTTTGTGAAGGCATTGTTATGGGGGGCTTCTTGTCATTGTGGTTAGATTGTAAGGACTTACATAACTAGATTTCCCATTTGGTATGTTATTTCAGCATACAAATCTACATTTTGACTCATCTAGGAGGCATATCATATTCATAATATACTTTCTGTTAGGTTGAAAACTGTTTATGTAGATCATCATATTAAAGTAAGCTATTATGTGAACAAGATTATGCCATCAGAACACAGAGATCATCTTGAATTGATGCAAATATTTGCCATTAGGAACCAGTTTCCTATCTGAACTGGAGCTGTCCTAACCTTTCCCTCCCCACAAAAAGAACCTAAAAGTTCTTGCAGCCAAAATAGCGTAAAATATGGATGAAGAAATTAATAATATAAGAATTTTACTATATCTGGATAAAGAGTTATATAAAGGATATCAGTGGCAATGAATAGCAAGCAATCTGCAATCCTATCAAAGGAATGTGGCTAGAATTGAAGATCAATGGTTCATGTGAAGAAGAAGAATTTAACTTAAGGCATGTTAATTAGAAGAAGACAAGGTGTCTGTATTTTTCCCTTCTTTCTATAATTAAAATGTAATATTCATGTTAGTGAGCATCTTCTCCCACATGATTATAACCGGCTAGAGACCTTACCAACAAGCTAGTTGGATTCTTGTGGATTTACAGTCTGTAAATATGCATGGACGTTTTGCATAAGGATGGATGAAGTTGATTTGAGATTTTCCAGCTTATGCTATGTGTGGTTAGTGATTCCCATGCCTTAGAGTGAACCTAGGCACCCTATTGAGTGATTTCATATTTTCTCTCTTCTCTCTCTCTCTCTCTCTCTCTCTCTCTCTCTCTCTCGCTCGCTCTTCTTTTTTAATCCTTAAAGAAGTCATTACTTCCATCAACAGCCATAAGTTCATTAAAAAATATTCGTTCAATATTCTCAAAAGGACTAGAACTGATCCAGGTTACTTTTCCTTCAACTTTCATCAAAATCACATATCCTTACATCATTTCATCCCACAATTCCACCCAAACCCCTAGATTCCTTAGTTTTTTGAGCTTTATCCTAATCCTAAAATTTTCATCTTTTTTGTACCAAATGTCCCAAAATTCCACCCAAACCCCTAGATTCCTTAAGACAGTCCATGGCACATAAATCATTATTTTAGAGAATGGCAGGCCTTGGTATTTAGTATTAATATCTTATTCTATTTCAGTTTTAAGGTTATTCAGTTCCCTGTTGACCTAGATAACAGTGTAGTTATGTGCACTTAGGGACCAGTCTCCTGTTTACTGTCTTCCAGCTACTTAATTCTTTTGTTGCCTCTCCGAAGTTGATATTTAAATATTTCAGAAATTTCAAGGTTTCATTTTTCAACATTATATAACATAATGTTTTTATGGTATGGGATCTCTGTTGGATATGGTTCATTCTGAATATGTTGATTAAAACAACTTGAAACAATAGTTGAAAAGACATGAAATTTTTAAAGTAATGGAATAAAGTAATATTAATTCTCATTGATCCATAGAGAAAACATTTCTGTTCATAGTACTACTCTTTCGGATTCTATAACTTCAACATTAAACTCCAATATTTTCTAGGTAAGCATAGATAGTAAGAAACATAAAATTGTTTGAGGTTGAGGTATTAGATGTGGGTTCTGATGGTCTAATTTTTATTGTCAGAAAAACTACTCGGCCTAAGACCCTGGATGGCCAGGATCATCATTGGGTAATGGGTCATTTTAATTGATCATTGATTGTTGAATTTTATGACCAGAATTATATTTCTGATTGATCATTGGCATGCCTCAAGAACAATGTAAATGTGAAAACGTTGTTGGTGGGTTTTAAGTTTTTTTTTAACTACTGGACCCTATATTAGGATAATTTTATTGTTTGTTTCTGGTTTTATCATCGTGCTGTGCATTCATATTTCTATTTTCATTTAATTAATTGTAACTTTTTATCCTTTTTGTATTTTTCTGTTCACAGATGGACTCCTTTGATGGTGGCCAGATCGTGGCACAGAGACTGGCTTGAGGGAATTTTAAGCAGACAGCCAGAAGGCCGGCCACAAATTCTTCCTTCACCATATCTTTCTCTCCCCCTTATGAGCATTGTTAAAATTGCCAGGTTTCTTTTTTACATTTCAACATTATTTGAATGCACCTATCTTTTGTTTGGTAAGAAAAGGATTCATTAATGAAGAAAGAAGTGGAAAGACACGAATAGCAAGGGGAAACACAAATTGAAAACAACACAGGAACAAGACAAGAAAAAAAGGAGCAAAACAAAAACAAGAAAACTGCAACAAAACCGCACAACTAGCTACCCCTGGATCAACAACAAGACTGCTAACAACCCAAAATCCTTCCTTAAAACTTCAGCCATCCAAATGGGGACAAAATCTGAGGAGTGGCAAGCCTTGCAAAAACCGGATTTTGCAACCTCATGAGCAGCAACATTAAAGCTTTGCGAACACCAACTGAACCTGAAAAATCTTCCAACACACAAGTGCACAACTTCGTAATATCCTTACAGACAAAAGGGATTTCCTGATCAATATTAGACTCCTCCCCTGTTACGCTCTGAATTAGTGAAGGCTATTAGATTCAAAACAAGCATTCTTCAAGTCTTATGAAATTGCAAATCTCAGTGCTTCCAAAAAGGCTTTAGCTTCAGTAACTAGAGGGGAGGCTCCTACAAGGGCCACAGCCCATTCCCCAAAAAACACCAAATTTCTATATTCAAATTTATAAAATACCACCTGAATTATCATCTATGATGCTGAATTTTTTGTTTCAAGCGATTGCAAAGATCCTGATTCCATGGAAAGGTACATTGTACATTTTGTTCGTTAATGTTCACAATAAATTAAGATTTCAAATGAAACGCGTAGGTTGATGTGGAAAACTTTGAGAAATGAGCTGCATGTGAAAGTTACTGGATGTGAAAAAGAAGCTTTATTTCCAAGTTTAAAATCTGACAAGAACTGTGGTTTTTTCTTCTCTTATTTTTGTTGGGGGAGGACTGTTTGGGAATGAAATTAGAAATACAGTTATCCATTTATTAACTAGGTTTCAGATGGAATAGAGGGTAGGTCAATTAGGATAGAGACATTATTGGGCTTACGGATCTCTTGAGAGAGTTACGAAGGGGGTTAAGCCTAGGCCCTATCATAAGTCTAGGAGGACTCCTAGACGAAAAACAATTTTAGGTTCATTTTAAAAGTATAAGTTTTTATACTATTAAAATTACTGTGTGGATTTATTTAGTAGAATTTGGTGACAAGAAACAAAAGTGCCTTAAATATAGGATTCAATGAGGGAGAATGGGAGTTGATATCTCGAATGTGGGACTTAATGAGAGGGAATTGAATGAATTGAATAATAGTACTCAAATTACATTTTTTGCCATCACATAAAGAGGGGTATTTTAGTCAAGAAAAAATTTAGAAACTTCAGACCCTATTCATACTTTCTATTGTAGTATAGATATAGATGGATATCGATTTACAATCAACTTTGTTGAGTTTTAACTAGAGAAAATGATGTCAGTCTGAAGTACCAAATTACCAATCACTCACCCCTATTTACAACTTTTAAAACATTGTATTCACATCAAAGACTTCAGCCTTGGAAAATTACCCCCAAAATAGTCGCTTTCTGTTGACTAAAGAATCTTGCCAAATTGTCAGCCACAGTATTGCCTAACCTTTGGACCCACCTTAATTTAGCCCTTATCATCCCAGCCAGATGTTTAACTCCCTTTATACTTATTGTACTTCCACGAACCAGTACTGTATTTCTTCAGCCACCCCACAACATTCCTTCTAACTTTTTTCTAAAGTCATTTTCTAAACAAAGGGTTGGTCATCTCAATTCAAACGTTGCAACATCTATATATTTCTCCAGCATATTTTCCAAGTTAAACCAAACACCAGAAAAATTAGGAAAATGATTCAATTTCCCTTTGAATATTGTTTTCCAAGTATATCATTCATTTTCTTTTATTTTATGTGCAAAACAAACACAGACCAGATTCATAGTAAACATGAAGAATTCAGATGATTGAAAAGCAGATAAGTTTAGTGAGATGGTAAAATCTCAGATGATAAGCTTGAAAGTGTAGGTTCATGTATGAGAGTAGCCACTTCATACAAAAGTTGTCAGAGGTTAGTAACATCCTCCTCTCCCAGACTATGGATATCTAGGACCAGGGCTGGGTAATATAGCCTTGTTTAGCCACAAAAATCTTGTTTCCATATGTCAACTGAAACAAGTTATTAGTTAAGACATTAGCACAAAAACTGTGGGAATTTATGATTGATAGGACCTGCTTACTGCAGATGTCTTTCCACCTTTGCGATCATGGAGCCCAAGGTCTTTTTTTTTTTAATGACTTTTGTTAGAATTTATGGTGTTTCAAGAAACACCTTGTAGGAAAATTTCTTCAACCATCTTAGCTTAGCTTTGAAAGGAGTCAGGTCACAAAATTACAGCTAGAACTTATTCTGCACCACATTAAAATTCTCTCTTGTTTCAGGGAATGTGGATGGAGGAGCAGTGATTCACAACCCACGTGCCATGACCCATGTGTTGTTTGTTTGGAGAGGAAATGCACAGTAGCTGCTGAAGGTATGCTTTCAGAAATTTTGAAGGGTTACTATTGTATACTTTCAAATTTTTCACGAGTACATCTTGAAGTAACCCCCATGTGGAATAAAATCAGTAATTGGCAGTAAGAGGGTTGAACCCATTGAAGGCTGGATTTCAGAATGGTATATCCATAAAATATAATAAGAAAACCTTATTTGATAAAATCTAATGGTCAAGGGGTAAATCTATAAAATACTGAAGCTTATGTTTTGTACTATATTTCAAATTCTTTCATCCAAATCACAAACTTACATGTTCAAACTGTTTGGAATTTGTGTCATTGTTTGTTCCTTCTCTACTCCTTTGCTTTTGATGGGTTTCGTCCATTTCTCTACATCTCCCACTGATTAGATGGGAACTTTGTAAATCTATATGAATGAATTTTGCCCATCTTGACAAAAGGTCTACTATTTTAGTTTCATATGTTTGAATGTAGCAAGCATATGCTTCCAAATGTTACTAATGTAGGAGAACAGTTTCCTATTTTACTTGTTGTCATTCAATTCTGTGCTAGTCGTTCAGCAAAGTAAGTGGAAAAAAAGTTGATTTGACCTTGTTACCCAGAAATTTCTCTTATTTCTCTTACATATTCTAATATATGAATTGTAATATTCGTTTCTGTGGTCAGAAGTGAAGATTGTAAATGCYATAGATAGTTCTTTTGCTTATTCATGCCTTAAATACTGTCCTTGATTGCAAAAGTAAAGCTACAAACAGTTTTAAGTAATTCTCACCATCCAATCAGTAGTCCTTGTTTGGTCATTCAAAAACAAAATTAAGAATAATGAATATATCTCAATTGAACTAAACCCAGCACGTGATTATTTAGGGTAAGATGAACAAAATGTTAAAGAATATATTCCCCCCAAGAAGCCTTCTCTGCATTTAGAACTTTCTACTTTTGTATTTTTTAGTGACCAAAGAGGATAAAAAGAGATAAATCAAAAACAAAAAAAATGGAACAGAAAAGAAAGAAAGCCATGTGATGGTGCATAGTTTATGTTATAGGCATTTGTTCATTTGTTGATTACAATCATCCAAAATAAGAATTGAAGTCTTAGGTTTCCTTCTGTGGTCTGGATGATTGTCGTAGAAACAACCTATGCAAGATCTTCATTGCTAAAGCTTCACGATTGGATTAAAGTTCAAACACCTAATGTCAGGGATGCATCAAAATAATGTAGTTTTGACCATGGATCAATTGACTAGTTTTGCAACTTATTACCCAAAGATTGAAAACCATGATGTTTCTGATACGACTTATGCTGAGTGACATAAAGCAAATTGCAAGGAATTTGAATTGGGAAAGCTTTCCCATCTTTGATCAGCTCTACTTAAGCATTGAAGAAGCTTCATTAATCAGGATATTGTCGCCTCTACTGTGATAGTTTTCCAACCTGTTGCTTTTTGAAGACTACTTGTACATTTTTATCCAATTCCACATTATCCATAATGATAAAAAAAAATCCACATTAGTCATTGGATGACTTTTTACATGTCCATCCATAAGAAGGCAAGCAACAAAGTTGGGGATACCAATTCAGAAGGCAAGTATAAATGGTCGATCATGGACAAGAAATGAGTCGAAGTCAATGCAGAAGCATAAATTTGAACAGAAAATGCAGTTCACGATTCTGTCCTCTTGATTGTCTGAACTTCTCAACATTTGGATATTTAGTAGTCATTAGAACTTAAAGATAACTGTACTGGAACAACTTTATTCAGAACCTTCAATAAGAATGCAATGGAATGAGGTTACTGCCCTTGAAAAAAAAAATGAACTTACCTGATCTACCACATTTTCTTAAAATTGTGTAGGTTATGGGTTTTGAATTTTCATAGGACTTAACAATTGTTCTCATCTTTCTGTCATTTACTTTATATGTTATGTTACAAGATAATCAAAGAAATACTTTTTCTAACTGTACAGGTTGTGGTCATGAGTTCTGTACTCGGTGTGCCTTGTACCTCTGTTCCACCAACAGCACCTCTACTGTTGCACATGGACCTCCAGGCTCAATCGCATGTCCTCTTTGTCGACATGGTATAGTTTCATTCACCAAGCTTCCAGGCACTGGCCCAGTAATTAAAGAGATTGCAAGGACAAGCTTATCTTTGTCCCTATGCACATGCTCGGGTGAAAAATCAGACCCCACAATGCCAAACCAATTCTGCAAGCCTGATTTCCATTTCACCCGGATTTCACCTCTAGGCTCATCCTCCTTCAGAACGCTCAACTGCCAACTGTTCCAATCAGTGAAGCTCAATTCAAGCCTTTGCCTGGGAGCTCCGGACACTAGCCCTTCGCTAATTCCTTGTTCCACCAATAGGAGCCTACAGAACCAAGTGAGCAGGTGTTCAAGACCGAACTTGAGACGATCAGCTTCTCACAGCGAGGGTAGAAGGTCTTGGCTCTCTGCATTCAATCAATACGTTCTAACAGGCAGTGGAGGCTGAAATTTTACTACTATAAATTACTCTTTTCTGTCACAATGTTCCTTGGTATTTCAAAAAGATTGAACTGCTGTGTTTTTTTTTTTCCTTGCAGGTTTGTAAATATAGAAATATCTATTACCATGTATACAAATCAAAATTCCCTAGTCATTCAGGCATATTGTTAAGCATTTTGACTTTTTGGCTTTTTCAGCAAGAGAAGTTTTGGGGCATGAGATATTCATATTTCTTCATTCCTAGGCTTCAGATTGCACCATGTCCGTAATCAATTGCATCAGGCCCAGATATTTGGCAGCTTTGAGAGCTATGTAGCGTAGTCATGGCCATTAATTTTCATAGATGAACGAATCAAGAGTTGCACAGATCTCTGATTAACGCAATAGATTTGTAGTACTGCAAAATAATTTCTTTCAATAGCATTAACCCATTTAGAAATGGTGGTTCTATTGAGTTCCCAATTTGAACCGGTGGGATGCATGATTTGGCTACTGATACAAGTGCTGGACTGACAAACGGACTAATAGGTTTCAGAATTCAGATGACCACCGGAAGCCCACTCAGATGATTCAAACAGTTTCATTATAGGCTATGCAGAGTCAGTGTGCAGACTTTGGGCGGCTATTTTTTATTCATGAAATATTGGAAATCATACATCTGATTAATGCACCATGTGTAAGTAATCAATTCGGCAGTTCAGACCTTCAGGTCAACGGTCATGTGAACTGGTAATCGAACACAAATTTAAATTTCAGTGAAGGACTGGACTTTGGCATCCAGTTACCGACTTGCAGATGAGTTAACTCAAGATGGATAAACTCTTTTATAACACCAAAAAACACTTTCATGGAGAACGTACAGAGATCAAATTGAAGTAAACCATTCATTCAGGGATTCATTGACAGCTCTCATTGCTTTTACAAAATTACAATTTACATAAAAAGCAGAAGATGAAACTTCTAAAGTGAGCATCATACAACTTCAAATTTGATTGTGGTCATATTCATTTTGCTTTGGCTTCAAAACAGCATATAAAATACAATTATTCAACAACAAATAAATGTTGTGAATTAAGCTCCAGAGGGATAGACAAGAAAAGAAAAGTTGGGAGGTTTGATAAGGATGCAAATATAAATAGTAGATAGGAGCGGAATAGAGAGCGGCCATAGAAATTCTTTTAAAAAGGAAAAGTCTTGCAAGGTCAAGAAAGAAAAATGAAAAATATAAAAATAAAATAAAAATAAAATATTAAAAGCTCAGCAAGGATAGCACCTTCAAAGATTTTTCAGTTTCTTCCCCTCAAACTTGATAAGCAAAGGGAACGAAGCTTCTTGCATCATGAGACAGGAACACTTCACATGGAAGGAAGAATGAGAAGACCGCTGCATAGAAGAAACGTAAGGAGAGAGAAGAGAAGGCATAAAAGGCATATTGTTTGTTGTGGTGTGAAGTTTGAAGTGATAGAAATTGGCAAGTAATGATCCTTAACGTAAAGCACACAAGGTTTATATAAGAAAAGAAGATGAGAAATAAATGAAACAGGGAGAGGCCTGACATTCTAAATGGGTGTTTAGTTTGCTGCACATACGAAAAAGTAACTGATTAGTCTTACCAAATTGAAGTGATGAAGTAACCCAAAAAGTGAGAAAACAAAGTCTATAAATGGAGAGCTGATTTGAGTTGAGGGAAGGTAAGAGTAGAAAGTACAGATATGGCAGTGCAGTTATGAGACTTACCCATCCATGACAAAAGCATCTATCACTGTAATCCTTTTCTCTTCACATCTTTTACCTCCTTCCTCACGCAATTCGATAAATGTTGAGTTTCAAGACTTTTAAGAGTTAAAAGTTTCAAGTTTTTAGGAGACCAGGAAACCAGATGAAGAGAGTGCAAAACAGTAGTAGAAGAAGAAAGGTGAAGGACTACTGTCTCTCTGCTGTGCTGCTACGTCTCTTTCATCCTATTGTAACATTGCTTTGACCACCTTGGAAAATCCTAACTTCTATAACAAATTTCTGAAAACAATTTAAAACCCCAATTTATAGTTTAGAGTCGTGGTACTTCTATAAGACTATATATCTAATGCATTATTAATTATTTATTATCATTATTTTAAAGTGAAACAACGAAAAATTTTTGAATTAATTTAATTATTTATTATTTTAATGTAAAATCCCAAGACCCAGATGGCCTGAGAATTCTGCAGGGAAGATATTCAGATGCCCTTTGGGATGAAAATTATCATAGATCTCAGTTCTCCATGCAAAAGTAATCATATTTCACAAATACCCACATAACCATGCATCCACACAAACAAATTGCATGGGCTGATGGGCATGGCCGTCCTAACTCCTAACAGCCTTAACAGCCTTGACTTGAGCTTTCCCATGCATGACCCATGCAGGAAGATAAGTCATGGGTTCCCATATCTAATGTCAGGGATTCTGCCAAACAATATCTTTTGTTGAGTTTAGGGGAGAGAAAGCACAAAACAGCTTTGTATTAGACTATTAGCAAAGTATAGAGTAGGCCATTAGACCATTAATACCTACTTTTTCTTGTTAAACTTGCTGCATTAGACTAGGATCTAGGGTTTTTGGGTCTGGGATTTTTTTTTTTTTTTTTTTTGTGGGTAGAGTTGTTTTGGTGATAACTGAGAAGAGAGCAATTATTCTCATGTTGCAGAGAATCCTGTTAGACATGACAACATCCCATACCATACCCCCTTTTTAATTTGTGTGTATATCTTCTTCTAATCTTCAAAACTTCGCTCTACTTTTTTCCATCTGACCACCCACATCTTCATCATCTCTTCCCCTCTGTGACGTGACAACACAGGCCCCATTCAAGCTATTTCTCTCTTCCTTGCAGCAGCCACCTACGTAAGACAAAGTTATCAACACACAAAGGAAACAGTCTCTGACCTTCTCTCTGTGCCCATGTGTCTAGTTCAGCAGTTTTCAACTCTCAAAGTGAATGCTTAAGCCTTAACACCCTCTTTTATCCTGCGCACCCTTGTGGGTTAATTAATGTGGCCATCCCTCCTTCGTGTTTGTAGCTGCCAGAAGACATGATGGGTGTTAGCAGTTTGCCTTACTCTGAGTGGTAGATCAACAGTGAATAGCCTAAAGCTCTCTTGTTTTCCTTCCATTAAATTCGTTGCAGTTGCAGACTTGTTGAATTCTCCATCCAAACTTTGTATTTATTCTTCAGACCAGTCTCAACAGTGAGCTCTGGCCATCATGAATTGTTTAGCTCCATGGCTCAACCGCCTGATCTATTCCTCTCGAGATTTGAGCCCAATGAGCAATTCACGAATTAGGTCAAACTGAGAGGGAACCGAGGAGAGGAGTGACGATTTGAACCGCTCATCTCAAAGCCGGTCCATGACCGAGAGAAGGATTTTTTTGTGAAAAAATAAAGTGTCCTATTGCCATTGAAAAGCTTGGAAACTAGGCTAGGCTTGGGTTGGCACTAAGCAATCCACACACGCAATTGCACCCTAACAAGCTAGACTGCTAGAGATTCGACAGAGCTGGCCAATGGGTTCATGGTCAATGAGCCGCATTTGGGTATCTAGAATTCCAGATCCCAGCCAACTGCAGCTAGCATTCAAATCGAATTGCTCTATCAGATAACAAGGATCTTGATTCCTGATGGATTTTGAAGCAAAGGAAAAAAAATACATTCAAGCTGAATCGAAAAACTCGTTTAAGATTGAAATCTGGGTTAATCACTAATCAGGTCGGATTTTATTTTTATTTTTTTAAGTTTAAATCCGGGGTTTCAGTTTGCTTCATCTACATTGAAATCAAGCAAGATGAAATAAAAGCTGAAACAAATTAAAAAATAAACAATCAAATTATTTCCACTCTCATACTTTTGCACAAGTGCAAACAAACCAGAAACTGCCGCACAATCTCGACCCAGAGATGCTGTTTCAGATAGTTTGGTTGGCTGCAGCCTGCAGAGAGTGGTGAAGCTGATCGGTAGGGCTTGCTAATCTGATCAGGACCATCAGGGTATGAGGTTGGTAGGCTCGGGCTGGGTCTGTTGATGTCCCCTCCCAGCAGTGGTCTGCCATTTCAGGTACTCCTGAGTCCTGATGGGCAGCTGACAGTCCAGCTTCTTCTGGATATACAGTCAAGAAAGCAGTTTTTGTTCTTGGAACTTAGAGGAACCATCAAAAAAAAAGTACTCGGTACTATATTCATTGACAGTATATTCTATGTAGGCTGAATTTTCAAACTTATTGAGTGCCATTTCAAAACGGCTGAAGTGGCTGAACCGGGTCCCAACCCAATAAGGCAATAAGCAAATGTGCAGTGCCGTTGCTGAACCTAAAAAAACCCTTTTAGGCTGTGTTTTGGTTTAAAGGAAAAGATAAGGAAAGGTAGAGGTTTCCGTACCTTTCTCTTCCTTTTCCTAAGTTTTCCACTTTTCCTTTAAACCAAACACAGCTAGGATTTAATAATTGAGATTGGATTAGCTGAACGCAATAGCTGCGGCTGTGGAACCATTATTAATACCCCACGCTAGTCATAATTAGCCATGGCGTTCAACTAATCCTAATTATAATAATTGGGATTTTTGGGTTTGACCCAATAATGGATAGCTATATTTTTTAAAATATGATTTGATAGTAAACCTACTTAATGTTAAATTGATACATTTTCACATCACGATATCTAATTAGACCTATTTACGGACTGGGTTTTGGATTCAATTTTATACTATGATGGGTTCAGGCTTTGGGCTAGGCATGTTAGAATTTTACCAAAAGTCAAGTCCAAGCCCGGCCCATGAATAAATCTACATGTAATATCATAAGAATATCATGAGAAAAGTAGGTATTGGATGAGATCGGCTTCAATCAAGGTAAACCCATGCTCACACCGTGCCAACAGCCTCTTGCAACTTTGCATTGGGAATATCTCCCCTTGAAAGAAAGCACATAAGTACGGAGATACTCCCAATGCAAGGCTGCAAAGGTTATTTGAACGGGAGTTGCCCTAACCGAAGCCAAACTTGTATTGGATTGAGGGTATCTCTACAACATGCCAACACCAAAGCTATCAATTGGCTGGGTTTATATGACAGAACTGAACTAATTGAACCAATTATGTTAGTTCTAGGTGTGGTTTGTATCCCAATCAACAATTGGATTTGG